CCTAGCCATGAATCATGGAATGTGCTAATTCCAGACATTATACATTGTTTTTGCCTCTGTAATCCACTTGCTATCTTGGGTCACCTGGTAACTGCTGAGTTCAGCTTTCTTACTGTACTTGTTATGGCTAGGGAGTTGACTAATTTTAAAATTACAAAGTTGATTGCCAAGTTATATGACTGTATCACTTGTCTGTATGATTGGTTGTTGATTAATAGATTCAAAGTTCTGCTATGTTGTACAAACCTGATTGGTTCACAAATGTCCTGTTTGAATAATATTTCTTATATCCTATAAAAACTCTGATCTGACAATCATCAGGGCTGCTTCTATTCCCGAGATAGCCCGGCTGGTCGACAGTCGAAAATTAAAATTTACCTTGCTACTTTTCTTAAAGTGGTGTTGGTGATTTTTTACGAACTCTGTCCTATAACATTTATCAGGGCTGGAGAGACTGTCCAGTGGTTAAAAGCAGTTCCTCTTCTAGAGGACACGAGTTGGGTTCCCAGAACACATGTCAGGTAGCGCACAACCACCTGTAACTCCAGCCCCAGGACACCTCACACTCCTCTGACCTCTTGCACCTGCTCTCATGTGGCACCCCCCTCTGCAGATAAAAATAAAGCTTTAGAAAAAAAAAACACTTTTTCTTTAGGGACAGGGGTTAAGGTAAGTCTCACTATGTAGCCTAGCCTGGCCTTGAACTCATGATCCTTTGACCACCACCTCACAGGTGTGTGCACCACCATCTTGCCTAGTTAACTTTATCTTTGGTTTAGTTTGTTTGTTTGCCTCATAAGGTGGCAATGTTCATTTCAGGAGCCTCAAGTCCTGGCTTTACCTGAATACCACAGGAGCTTTAGAGCAGCTACTCCTGAGGAACAGAAATCCATTCTAAAAAGATAACTGTGTTGGGAGCTATTAATCCATTATGTACATTGAGCTGTGGCAGGCTTGCTTGTTTACTTAGAGTTTGTGTTTTGACCTAATCTGCCAAGTCAGGAGGAACGTGTTTATATGGTGGAGTTCACAAGTATTTGACCACTCCTTGACCCTCAGATACAGGTGGGAAAAACAGCTGTTGAAACTAATTGAGTTCTTCTGTATAAAAAGGCCAAGCTAAAATAAACCGGGGCTGCTGCAGTCTCTGCTGACAGTCCTCCCAGGTGTCTTTTCTCTGTCTCTTGTTTTTTCTTTCAATCCTCACTCCCCCTTTCACGTACTGTCCATCTTGGCCGGCTGGCACCAGCACCTGTGCAACACAGAGGCTTCTCCAGCAGCTATTTGAGAGCCAAGTGTCACCCTCATGTGATGAGGTGACTAGGGGACAAAGATCAGAGTCTCTAGAGGAGAGAGAGAGAACATGATCCATTTCTGGGCTGGGAAGAGAACTCCAGGGCATTTGACACCCTCTTGTGGTCCCCTCCAGCATCTGTGTTCACATCGTGCACACACACACACAGAGAAACAAAAATAAATGCCAGGGTCAAAACAGAAAATGTTTCTGGCATTGAGTAGAGCCTTTAAGCTCTTTTTTTTTTTTTTTTTTTTTTTTTTTTTTTTTTTTTTTTTTAAATAGGATTTCCCTGTAGCTCCAACTGGCCTGGAACTTGCTATGGAGACCAGGTTGGCCTCACCCTCACAGAGATCCACCTACCTCTGCCTCCCAAGTACAGGGATTAAAGGCCTATGCTGCCACACCCAGCAACCCTTAAACTCTTAGAGCCAGGCATAGTGGTACATGCTGTATTCCCAGCATTCAGGATGCTGAGGAAGGAGGATCATCTTAAGTTTGAGGACACCCTGGGCTACATAGTGAATTCCAGGTCATCTTAAGCTATAGCTCAAAAACAAAATCTAGGCTGGGGATGCAGCTCAGTTGGTAATTTGCCTAGCATGCATGAAGTCCTATGTTCCATCCCCAGCGTGGCATAAAGCCAGGTGTGGTGGTGCGCACCTGCGATGCCAGCACTCAAAAGGTGGGGGAAAGAGGATCAGAAGCACAAGGCCATACTTGGCTACACAGCAATTTCAAGACCAGGGTGAGCTACAGAAGAATCTGTCTAAAAAAATTATCATACCCTTACAGCTCCAAGGAGAACAGCGTGTTGTGAAAATTCTTCTTGGTTTCCAGGATTTTGCATTTTTGGCTTTCCTCCTGTACCCTACAGTCTCTTACTGTCTGCTTGGTTTGGTCTTTCCTGCAAGTTGGAGGGACCCAGGATTCGGAGGTCCCTCTACTCTTCCCTGACTTCATGCTTTCTCTGGGGCCAATGGAGCAGGTCTATGCTCAAACCCTGCAGAAACACATCAGGTAGAAAAACAGTTCAGTCTTCAGGAGTCAGCCAAGTATGTGCACCTGCCTAGACTCCACCAGTGAGGGAATGGGGCTTTGCCTCAGTGGTAAAGTGCTCACCTAGAATCCACTAAGCAAGGCACCCAGCCCACGACTGGGAGATTCTAGGCAGGTGTTCTACCACTAAGCTGTGCCCCCAGCAGCCCTCATTGGGGGATTCTAGGCAGGGGCTCTACCTCTGAGCCATGCCCCAGCCCCACACTGGGGGATTCTAGGCAGGTGCTCTCCTCTGAGCCATGCCCCAGCCCCACACTGGGGGATTCTAGGCAGGTGCTCTCCTCTGAGCCATGCCCCAGCCCCACACTGGGGGATTCTAGGCAGGTGCTCTACCACTGAGCCATGCCCCCAGCTCTTCTCTCACCATGTCTTAGGCACTCTTTGTCCCTTATCCTCTACCAGATTTGAAAAGTCACTCCACACAGATGTCCCCCACTCATCCCTGGCTGGCTCAGATACAGAGTTCTCCCTGGCTGCTCTGTCCTTGTCACTGTTGGCTCACCCCCAAAAGGTACCTGCGGCATCTTCAGTTGCCCAGTTTCAAACACTGTCCTTCTGACCCTTGGTTCAAAGGCTACTGTGCACTCTAGCCACACTGGCACCTCAAAGTTTCTGCAGTGGCCCATGTACCTCCCCACTGTGCAGACAGACTCTAAGGTGACCCCATAACCCCCACCTCCCTGTACTGATGGCCCTGTATAATTCCAGACCCTTGAGGGAAGGACTGGACTTGCAGGACATGGCAAACAGGACAAGATGCATGTGATTGTGTTAATATCTGTTATGTAAGATCAGGTTTCAGGGCTGAGGCTGTAGCTCCATTGGTAGAGTGCTTGTTTTGCATGCACGAGGTCCTGGATTTGGTCCATAGTACTATAATAAAGAAAAAAAATTACCTGCTTCCATTGCTTTTTAGTTGTTTGTGTGTGCAGTTGCCCAAGGAAGCCAGAAAAGGGCACTGGATCCCTTGGAGGTGGAGTTATAGTCAGTTCTGACCCGCTTGATGTGTGCTGGGAACCAAATTTGGGTCCTTGGCAAGCACTCCAGCCACTGAATTGCTTTATTTTTTTTTTATTTTTTTTATGTGTATGTGTGTATTGCCTGCATGTAGGTAAGTGCATCCGTGTCGTGCAATGCCTGTGGAGGACAGAAGAGGCTGTTGGATCCCCTGGGACTGGAGTTACAGACAGTTGTTAGCTGCCATGTAGGTGCTGGGATTCGAACCCGGATCTTCTCCAAGAACAACCAGTGCTCTTAACCGCTGAGCCATCTCCCTGCTTTTTTTTTTTTAAAGATGGAGTCTCTCTATAGCCCAGCTGGCCTGGAACTCACTATGTAGGCTAGCTAGGTTGGCCTAGATCTTGATCTCAGTCTTATACAGATCCACCTGCTTCTGCCTCCCAGGTGCTGAAATTAAAGGCATGTGCCACCATACCCAGCATATTGTTTTTCTTCAAGATTTACTTTCTATTTATGTGCATGTTTCTCTGTCTCTCTGTCTCTGTCTCCCCCCCACCCCACAGGCATGCAGGTGCCCATGGAGACTAGCATACAGTGTTGGATCTCCTGGAACTGTAGTTAGACTGTTGTGAGCTGTCTGACACAGGTGCTGGGAACCAAACTCAGATCCTCTGGAAGAGCTGCAAGTGCTCTTAACTGCTGAGCCCTTTCCCCAGCAGCTCTGTTGCTTTTAATGAGATATGAGTCAAAGCCTAAGACTTGGTGGAACCCAGAGTCCAGAGCTCGGTCAGCCCACTGAAACAGCACGTAATGAGTTCCATAAAGGAGGCATCGACTGGCTGGATTATAATGTGCACTCATCCATGAGTCTGTGACCGAGTGTGGTTTCTCTGGAGCTTCTGGGAAAAAGATACCAGCTTCCTTTAGATGGAGGGTTTGATCGTGCAGTAAGTATCAGGATCTGGATTCATCAGTGTCTGTTAAACAAAGGGAAAGAGTGAGTTCCAGTCACTGTGTTGGCACTCCTAAACTACAGCCTGGTACTGCCCCTTCCTCCCATTGGAAATTCCAAAGAAATACCTCATTTCTCCTTGTTCTGTGGTTATGCTGGTACCTTCTGGAATGGCCTATGAAGCTCCCCACTATGGTAGACAGACTCTAAGGGAACTCCACCATCCCCTGCTATAGGTGACCTTATGCCATTCCCGACCCTGAGGATGGGACCTTGAACTTGCACCTATCCGATATGGCAGACATAGGATATACATGATTTCATGGATATTACCATTCATTCATAAGATAGTGACTTCTACTTGACTTTGAAAGAAACAAGATTCAGGGACGTAAGCAGCCCATGGAGAGGGACATAGAGCCAAAGGCTGAGGCTGGCCCCTAGCTGACAGTAAGAAACTGAGGCCTTCTTGAAGACACACAGCAGGAAGCTGAGTGCTGCCAATAACTACACAAGCTCGGAAATGGATCCTCCCCAAGTCAAGCCTGAGAGGAGACCTCAGCCTTCACCAACACCCCAATTCCAGTCTTGCAGGAGCCCTGTCTAGGTGGTGCTGGCTTCCTGAGCCACAGAAACTGGGAGATAAGAAGTATGTGTTATCTTGCACTGGTGAGTCAATGGTGACTTCATTAGGAAGTGACTGAAAGGGAAAACAGCCCCAGCAGGGCCTTTGTGCTTGCTGGCCTTCAACTGGAAATGTTCTACTCCCTGCCCTTGACCTGGCTTGCTCTTCGTGTCCCTCCCGAATGTAGCAGATAGGGAGTTGGCTGGGTGAATGGACATCCCCACACCTTCCTCTCCTGCTTCTATTGAGAGCCTGGGAAGTCCAACTCCTCACGTTCCCAGGCTTCCTTAGAAAGAGTCCTGTATTGTCTTGTTCTCTCTAAGGATGAATGAGAGGAAGCTTTCTACAGGGGATTTCCAGAAAGAGCTTTTTCTCTGCAGATAACTGGGAACAACTGTGGCTTCTCTTCTTAGACCCAGATGAAAAATGATTTTAAGAGGTGCAGTTTGCACAAGTTCACAGTGGATTGGACAGTTGAAAACACTGAACACCAATCCACGCCATGGCCTGAGCCAATCTGATTCTTCTGAAGACCTTGAACCTAGAAATGCCTAAACTTGCTGGGCATGGTGATGCATATCTGTAATCCTAGCAGTGTGAAGGCTGAGGTCGAAGGGTTTCCACGAGTTCTAGGCCAGCCTGGAGTGTATAGAGAGTTTCTTGCTAGCCTGGGCTACAGAGTGAGACCTTATCTCAATAAAACAAAAATCAAAAAAATGGGACAGTACATCTCTGCTGGTTTGTTTTGACTTACTTCCATATGGTCCAGCTATCATTAAGTGTATGTTGGACACATAAGAGTTATTCTTGTGATTTGAAGATAAGGATAAAGGTTCTTCCTGATAGCACTGGATTTCCTCTGCCTGATAACAACTTGTAATACAAATAATGTTCATCTTATTTTAGGAATTGACATTATTTGTTTCAAATATACTATACAACTTCTATAGGCACACAGATGACTCAATATTTAAACAGGACCTCTAAGGGCCATTTCATTTATAGTCCTAAGGCAAAATGTTCCCATACTTGATAGAACCTAAATTTTAAGTTTTTCCCACTAAATTTTTCGGTACGACTTATCATGATTTGATATTTCTGCTAAATTTGACTCCATGAAAGTGCATTATTGCACCATTGACTTTGTGTGTAAGCACGTGTGTATATAAAAGCATTGAAACTTCCTCAATAAATGAAGAGATGTCCTTTCTATATATCTGTATTTGGTAAAGAAAAGAATTTCTTGAGGTCTTGGTTGTTTGGGAAACTATGTATGCAAGTGGTGGCTGACTGCTGGTTTTGATTGTTCTTATTAAAGGACCTACGTCACGTGCTATGGCATCTCAGATGACCACAATCATAACACTGAGTGTACACAATTTTCAGCCACCGTGACAGACATTTTTACATTTAATTTATGACCTATTTATTTATGAATGTGATTTTTCCTGCTCATAACCATTATTCGTTTGGCTGTCATTTGTATACCTAAGTGTTTATGCTAGTGAAAATATGTTATTACTGCCTATGTTCTCCAGTAAAGTGCCTGAGAAGTGTTCTGTTGTGGCTTTTTTGTGTTTCTCAAATAAATCTCCATTTAAAAATGTAAAAAAAAAATGGGACAGTAGGATGAATGAGAAGAGAAAGGAAGGAATGGAAGAGGGAGAGGTAAAGTGGGAAGCAAGTGAACAGCGCACAAAAAACTAAGTGGGAGGAAAACAAATTGAATAAGGTGAAATGGAAATTGGGTGTGGTGGCGTACATCTGCAAGCCCAGCGCGGAGGAGGCTGAGGCAGGAGGATTACAAGTCCAAAGACAGCCTGGGAGCGGGGAGAGGGAGAGGGAGAGGGAGAGGGAGAGAGGGAGAGAGAGAAAATGAGAAAGTGGAGCTGATAGAAATATTCAGAAATTAACTAGAAAGTGATAACTATGGAAATTAGATGAAATGGAATCGAAAAGATTGTGTGTGTGTGTGTGTGTGTGTGTGTGTGTGTGTAGGCATGTGCGTGTTTGTGCACATGTAGATGTACATGTGTGGAGGCCAGGCATCAACCTTGTGTTGTTCCTCAAGAGCTATCCACCTGAGTGTTTTGTTTTGCTTTGTTTTATTTTGTTTTGATTTAAAAAATATTTTATTATTTTTATCTTATGTGTATGAATGTATTGCCTGCATGTAGGTGAGTGCATCCATGTCGTACAATGCCACGGAGGCCAGAAGAGGGCTTCAGATTCCTTTGGAACTGGAGTTAAGAACAGTTCATAGCTGCCATGTGGGTGCTGGGAATTGAACCTGGGTCCTCTGCAAGAGCAACCAGTGCTCTTAACCGCTAAGCCATCTCTCCAGCCCCTATTTTGTTTTGATTTTTTAATTTTATGTATTATTTTTATTTTATGTGCATGAGTGTATGTATTGCCTGCATGTATGTAAGTGCACCTGTGTTGTGCAATGCCCATGGAGGCCAGAAAAGGGCATCGGATTCCTCTGAAACTGGAGTTACAGACAGTTGTTAGCCACCATGTGGGTGCTGGGAATCAAACCTGGCTCTTAAACACTGAGCTATCTCTCCAGCCTATATTTTGTCTTGTTTTTGAGACAGGGTCTCACTGGCCTGGAGCTTGCCTATCAGACTAGGCTGGCTGATCATCCAGCCCCAGGACTCCACCTGTCTCTGCCTGGCCAGCACTTGGATTACAAGCACATGCCATTGCATCTGGCTTTTGATTGAGTGCTAAGGATCTAAACTCAGGTCATATTATGAACAGCCATCTCCCCAGCCCTTGGAATTGAGAAAACTTTTTAAAGAAAACTGTTGGGAGCTGATCCTGTAGACACCTCAGTGGGGAACAAAGCAGAGTAGAAGTTTTCACTAATCCAAAGACAGAATGACATCAGAATACCTCATAGTCTGACTCCATGTTTCTTTGAGGGGAGACAGGGGGCATCAGTGGTTGCTTTGGGACTTGGGAAAGTGGCTTCCTAGAGCCTTCAGGAGCTGCTGAAGGTGGTTTACTCTGTAAGTGAGCAGAAAAGTCAGGTGAGACCCACAGTCACAGATGGACTGGAAGACGTCAACTTAAATTCCTCAAAGACCCAGAGAAGAGGGAATCCATCAGAGCCCTACAGAGATCTAGAAGTGGAAGAAGACCTAGAACCTCAGCCCACTACTGCCCAGAGCTCTGTCTCTTCTGCTCCTAGGTCAGCATCGTCTGCTCCCAACTTTCTTTCCACAGCCCTCTTCTTGCCCAGCACTACCTTACTATGATCCAAAACAAAGCTCTGCAGGTGGAAGGAGCTACGCAGCAGCCAGAATCCTTAAATCAGACCCAGACTCTTGTGATACTATGGGCCACATTCTTCCCCATCCCTGGAACTGAGATGCAGCGAGAGAGGTTTAGAATGGGTTACCTCTCAACCTCAACAAACAATTCTCTGATTGTATTTTCCCCAGAGCTTTTGTAATTAGATATAACAGGGCCAACCTACCTCATAGAGCTGTTCTGGGAGGACAGGTGGTGGCATCTGGAGGAAAAATAAGATGCAAAGACGTCATAGAGGCTAAGGACATGGCTCAGTGGTATAGCACTGCTTAGAATTCCCCCAGTAAGGGGCTGGAGGTGTGGCTCAGTGGTAGAGCACCTGCCCAGAATCCACCAGTGAGGGGCTGGAAGTCTGACTCAGTGGTAGAAATTAGCCTAGTATACCCAAGGCTGGGTTTAGTTCCCACCACCACCCCCACACTTTTAAAAAGTCATAGGGAGGACTAGAAAGATGGCTCAGTGGATAAGAGCACTGGGTGCTCTTGCAGAGGACCCTGGTTCAATTCTCAGCACCCACATAGCAGTTGACAACTGTAATTCCAGATCCAGGAGAATCCAACATCTTCTTCTGACTCCACAGGCATTGCACAACATGTGTGAACTTACACACATGCAGGCAATACACTCATACACATAAAATAAAATAAAAATAATAAGTTTAAAAAAGAAGTCATAAGTTGCTGGGCATGGTGGCACATACCTTTAATCCCAGCACTCGGGAGGCAGAGGCAGGTGGATCTCTGTGAGTTCAAGGCCAGCCTGGTCTACATAGTGAGTTCCAGGCCAGCTGAGGCTACAGGGAGACCCTGTCTCAAAAAGACAAACAAACAAACAAAAAAAGTCATAGGGCTTGCGATGACAGAGAGCCTCACTATTAGAGACAGCAACATCCCTCCTGATTCCCAGGGGGGCTCAAGCTCAGGTACTGACTGCTAAAGATCAAGGAGACAAGGAAAGATAGAGAATACCAGGGAGGATTCTCAGAGACAGGAGAAGAGATGCAGAGTCCCAAGATGCCCTGGATATCCTACAGAGACCCAGGTAGGTGTGGTAGTGCATGCCTGTCATCACAGGACTTGGGAGGTGGAGGTAGGAAAATCAGGAGTTCAGAGTTAGTCTGGGATACATGAGGAGAGGGAGGGGGAGGGGAG